AAAAAAAAAAAAAAAAAAAGATCTACCTGTCGTACCAGGAATAATTCTTTTCTCCTTGCTCTCCTAAGTGCATATTAAAAAGCTTCCTATACACGCTGCAGAAAAGTTATCTTCCAATCCACATTAATAAATCCTCCAGTGATTGGGGGGCTTTCACCCACAGGGTTAAGACTATGTTTGGGATACATTAATGCATAAAGGGTCCCTAAAAATTGGCTTGCTTTTAAAAAAAGACTTTAATATTGTGGTATGCTATCCATCTCCAAAGGAACAGGCTACATAAAGGCACTCATTTATGTAGAGAGAAGTTAGGAATTAGTGGTTGTTACCAGCAGTCTCTTGTATTTGGGCAAACAGAGGTAAGTAGCAACTGTACCTCTTGGGCTTCCTTTGCATGTTAGGTGACCTGGAAGTGGAGTGATCCCACTTTATAACATGAAAAAGAGACTCTACACCACTGCCCTCATTTTGTTTAATCGCACTATCCTGGGTTCCGAGTATTTCTAAAGAGAAAATACTCACCTGGGAATGTTTTAGTCTTTTAAAATGGTCTTGGCTAGTGTCCCAGCTGTAAGGATAACCTTGCCTCAGCTATCCATACTCTAGAGATAGCCTATATACTACTGCAATGCAGTCTACATGGGGCCACAATGAAGACAATTAGGAAATTTCAGCTGTTACAGAGTACATCTGTCCAAGTGTTTGCAATACAGTCACTTTCAAGGACCACTTTTACTTGTGCCGACCTTCCTGCTTATTAAGCTCAATAACTGAGGCTGTTCTTACTTGTCCATCTTTGAGGGCTGCCTAGCTGACCAGAAGAGGGTACTCTCCTCAATGATCCCATGGTTTCAGAACGGGTTTCCGTGGACACTTCGCATGCCCAGTCACTGCAGGCCCTAACTATTCTACCTGTTCTTTCTGGTCTTTCCCTAAGAGGATCTTATTAAGCTGTTCTGGTATTAACTGTAGTAAATTACTACAGTTTAATATTTTAAAATATTAAAATGATTTTTAATATTTGGGCTAAATTGATCAATGTCGGCTTATAATTCCTATTTTATTTTTTCCATTCTAGTGTTTTTCCCGGATGTGCAGGGTCCACTTTTTTTTCCCAGATCAACCTAATGTTGATCCATTGGTTGGGACAGGAATTGACCGATTGGCTTGTCACCTGAGCCTGACGTTCGGGGGCTGAGAGGGAGTGACTGGCCCAAAGTCACCCAGCTGGCATTCATGCCTAAGGCAGGACTAGAACTCACAGTCTCCTGGTTTCTAGCCTGGAGCCTCAACCACTAGACCAAACTGGCTCTCCTACATACTTTTAATTTTATGGTTTAATTGTTGACAGCTACTTTTGGAGGACTTCTGTCTACAATATTTTTTGAGGATAAATACTAGAAACTTTAAAATATGTTTGAGTTAAGATACTTGGATAACTATCTACTCTTTGTTGTATTTTAGCTTTTAGAT